TATTTACGGTAATCTTGACAAAACTCAAAGAAGAATCTGCAATATTATCAGTCCTGTTCTGGTATTTCGTTTTCAGATATTTTACCACCGCCATAATGTAGCTTTCCTGTGTCTTTCTGTTAATAGTTTCAGGGTAATTGTTCTGATAAACTTTCCTTTATGGTACCTAGACTTTATGAACAGTACTAGATTGGCAGCAAAATCCCATTTTTACAGTCGAAATGGCTAGATGTACCCGTAAGTTCTATGCTGACATTTTCTTCTCTCGCACTTCTCACTTGTGGAAATCTCTTCCGGCTTCCTATTTCCCAGTTAGCTTTGATCTTCAAAATTTAAATGCAATGTCAATCGTTATCTTTTTAATTCCTGTTCTTTTATTGTCCTCTCTCCTTAATAGCGTTTCTTTTCTAGAATTCCATAACACTCAGTAAACCCTTGGTGGTTTTATTGCCTTGTTTGGGGTGAAATGATTTTTTAAAAATGATTGGCGACAAAACTAAATTCAGTTCGGGACCTCGAAAGGGTAATTTGCATTTCAAGCCCCGCGCTCAGTTTCGAAGAAAAATTTCCCGAATCGTTCCATTTAGGTGTAAATGTAAATGCTTAATTCGGAAATAACAAAGAAATTTTGATAAAATCTACCGTTTTGGAGTTATCAACAATAAAAGTTCGGACTCATTCGCGTCGCGGAGGGTGACGTTGATGTTAATTCTGCACCCTTAAATGATTTAGAAGGAAAATAGAGTAAATAGGAAGAAACAGCGAATGTCCTGTCTTTATAGCTGATCTAAAAATCTAACAACGTCTTGACAGACCTGGCAAAGCTAAGTGAGGGTCAAGCAAAAGTAACTATTGTTTAACGAACATTTCACACATCTCTTTTGATATTACTACACCTGTATAATAATGAGCCGACATTTTCCTTTATTATTTTAGCTTTTTGTTATGAAAAATATCGTACGTTTTAATTTCTTCAAATTTTCGGGGAAGCATTTCAAACATATATACCTGTCATGTATCCCAAATTACCAGCATACGTGCGAAAGGGAACTGCTTTTTTTTTTTTTTCTTTTTTTTTTTTTTTTTTGTTCACGGAGAATTTGATAGCCATGATATAATACTTCCTTTCTACAGATTTATTTTATTTCATTGCATGAATCACCATGAACCTTTGCATTTCCTTTTAGCCCCACCCACTTAAAATCTTTTTAATGTTTCTTTTTTTGTTTTGTTTTGGGGGTTTTTTTTGTCTTTTTTTTTAATATTATTTCACCCCTGGCAGACATTTTCGTTTTTTTTTTAAACCTCTTTGTCTCCAAATTGCATCATCTTCTTTATATCTGTCTTCCATGTTTGATATATATTTTTTTTTTTTTTTTGCATTTACTATTTTTTAAATATGTTTCTTTATTTCCTTTTCTTTTTTGGGAGACTGAATTCTGTCTGCATATGTCCGTCTGAATTTCGGTTTATGCCCATATGTTTTTGTGTGTATATGTTCCCGTGTGTATGTGTGTGTGTGTGCGCGCGCACGCGCGTTCGCACGTCTTTATCTCTATGCAGAGAACAATAAGGAACTAATTCTTGGCAAGGAATGTTCTGGAAGGAATTTCTCTTTCGAGAACTGGTATTCATCTTGTTTGTGTTTTCAATCGTCAACTTCATTTCAGCAATATCTTTTCCGTACACACATGTGCACTCTCGTGTACGCAGATACATTTTATATACGTGCGATGGAATATTTGTACACAGATGAATACATCCTTATCTCTCTCTTTCTCTCTCCCTCCTTCTCTCTAAACACGATTCGAAAAAAAATTAGTATGTAACCAACACACTTCTTCCATGTGCCGTGTCCCTTCAGGACATTGACGATCATGGCTCTCCACAATTTCCTCTCCTTTCTAGCTCTTAATAAATTTTGTCTTTTTCTTATTTCTCCTAAACCCTGTTCTGCTATCCATTTACTCAAGATCATTCTTCGTCTTCTATGTGCCGTGTTTCTTCAGGACATTGGCGATCATGGCTCTCCACAATTTCCTCTCCATTGTAGTTCTTAATAAATTTTGTCTTTTTCTTATTTCTCCTAAACCCTGTTCTGCTATCCATTTACTCAAGCTCATTCTTCGTCTTCTATGTGCCGTGTCTCTTCAGGACAGTGACGATGATGGCTCTCCACAATTTCCTCTCCTTTGTAGCTCTTAATAAATTTTGTCTTTTTGTTATTTCTCCTAAACCCTGTTCTGCTATCCATTTACTCAAGCTCATTCTTCGTCTTCTATGTGCCGTGTCTCTTCAGGACATTGGCGATCATGGCTCTCCACAATTTCCTATCCTTTGTAGCTCTTAATAAATTTTGTCTTTTTGTTATTTCTCCTAAACCCTGTTCTGCTATCCGTTTACTCAAGCTCATTCTTCGTCTTCTATGTGCCGTGTCTCTTCAGGACATTGGCGATCATGGCTCTCCACAATTTTCTATCCTTTGTAGCGCTTAATAAATTGTATCATTTTATTACTTCTTCAAAATTCTGTTCCAGTATACGTTTTCTCAAGCTCGCTAGGTAGGTTATACGTTGTTTTTCTCTGTTCCTCTTGCTTTCAATCTGCCCCGTGAGTATCAAATTTTCCGAACCTACTTTCCTCATTTAGTGCCCTATATATGATATAGATAATTACTAATATGTTCAGAGCTGAAACTTTTCTGAAGAAATTCTTCTTCTGTGTGCCGTGTTTCTTCAGGACGTTGGCAATCATGGCTCTCCACAATTTCCTGTCATTTGACGCTCTTAATAATTTTTGTCTTTTTTCTTATCTCTCCTAAATCTTGCTCCACCATCCATTTACTCTGCTCGATAGATAGTATAGGCGTTGTTTTCCTGTCTCTCTTGTCTACAATCTGTTCCGTGAGTATCAAAATTACCAAACCCTCTTTCCTCATTATGTACCATATAAAGTTCAGCCTTCTCTTCCTGGCGTTAAGTATAATTACACTTTTTGTTTCCATTTTCTCTGAAACTTCGTTGTTGTTCACGTATTCAGTTCATGATATTCTCAGAATTCTTCTGTGAATCCAGAAATCTGTTGATTCATCTGTGTGGAGATCGCCCAGCATTCACAGCCATATAAGAGGATTGATATTATGTAACAGTTCAGTACTGTTTGCTTTATTTCTAACAAAATTTTTCTGTTTCTTAATACTTTATTTAGATTTTGGAAGACACCTTCTGGTCTCTGTTACTTAATATTTACTCACGAAATCGTACTGGATAATTGAAAAACTTTATGCTTTTATATACAGTTGACGGGGTACCTGCTGGATGTTTCAAAATCTTTACGCTTGTATATACAGATGGCGGGGTACCTGCTGGATGTTTCAAAATCTTTATCCTTGTATATACAGTTGGCGGGGTACCTCCTGGATGTTTCAAAATCTTTATGCTTGTATATACAGTTGGCGGGGTACTCACTGGATGATTCAAAATCTTTATACTTGTATATACAGTTGGCGGGGTACCCACTGAATGTTTCAAAATCTTTATCCTTGTATATGCAGTTGGCGGGGTACCCACTGAATGTTTCAAAATCTTTATCCTTGTATATGCAGTTGGCGGGGTACCCACTGAATGTTTCAAAATCTTTATGCTTGTATATACATTTGGCGGAGCAGATACTGGCTCCTGCTGTTACTGCTACTCAGTAACTACTAATTTAAACGTTTGCATATAAAGAAAGACTCTTTGTACATTTTGAAAGCAAGATGGAAACTTCTTGTGTATATTTTACTAATGGATCCAGAATGCCCAGCTAACAAATCCATGGTGTTTTACTTTGAAAGGCCTGACTTCAAAGAGTTCAGAGATTATCCAAGAACCACCATAGTCACAACGCTGAACCCAGTCGTTCAAAGAACAAGGCAGAAAGATCGCACTTTTTCTTTGGAGAAGATTACAATCAAGGAAGATCTGCAACGAATCTGAAAACTCGCAGAGGTCAGAGAAGGCTGGTAAAATATTGTCGAATCAGTCTACGATGTCACTGAAGATGAGAGATCATGTTAATTCATGACCTCAAATCGAAACAGTTTTGATAATGATGACGATACAATGTTCGTGAAGAAAAACAACTTTAAAAATCTATCCAAATTAAGATTTGGCAAAATGAATAAATTATAGAGATTCAAATTATAGCAGCCATATTAATACATTGAGTCAATTGCTTCGTCCACCGCATGGAAAGTTGGCTCCCTGTGCCGCGCCAGGAAATTTTTCTCCCCGGAATCGATCCTCCAGATCTACAAATCAACAATTCTCCCTTGCATGGAGTATTACTGCCATATATGGTCTGGAGCCCCTTCTGTTTGCCTCGGGGTTCTTGATAGGCTCCAGAGGCGGATATGCAATATAATTGGCCCTGTTCTGGCATCTCGTCTACAGTCACTTTCTCACAGACGCGCCGTCGCCTCTCTCTGTCTGTTTTACAAATACATTCATGGCATTTGCTCCGAGGAGCTGCATTCGCTGGTTCCCAGACGTCATGAGTTCAAGCGCCCTACGAGGCTGGCATCCCGCTCTCACCCCTTCACTATCAAAACTCCTAAATGTAGCCGTCTCTTCTACTCCAATAGCTTCATGTCTCGCCTATTCCAGTTTTCCTGAGAGCTATAATCTCCAGCTATTCAAATGTAATATCAATCGACATCTCCAGTTGCCTTGATCTATCCACTATCCTTCTCCTCGTCCTTTCTTCTATCACTCCTATCTGATCTTCCTCCAAATTTTCTGTAACCCCTTGCGTCCTCGTGGCTTCCCGCCTTGCTTGGGGTGAAACAATTAAGAAAAGAAATAAAAAATTGCCAGAGCACATTAATTATTAGAGCACCTTAATATTATAAAATTAAAAAAAAAAACTTTTTGAGTAAAAATCTTTTAATAAAATCCAATATCCCGAGTGAGGGAATACCATCTTAAAATCAGATTTAACTTTATGGAGAAAACAAGTTT